CAATCTTTTCCCATTCCATTTATTTGTACAGATCCATCATCTGTTTTCGAGTTTGTACATGACCACCTATCGCTCTGTACAGCTCGTCAGGCTGCCCATTTATTTGGTTGCCGCCCACACAAGGAAAGCCACGGGGAGAAGGACTGCAATAGCAATCGATCCTCCGTAAGCGGCACCCTTCATAGCAGCAGGGTTCGATCGGTTCTTGCTCTGTTCAGGGTCCACCTTGACCTTCAAGTTGAGAGAGGTAGAAGTCTCAGCAACAAAAGGACTGAAGGAAGCAACGGGTGCGGTGGTGACAGACACCGGTGCCTTGACATTGGTGAAAGCAGTGACACCATTGACCACGAAAAGGGCGGCAATAACGAGGGCGAAGAATTTGTTCATGGTGGATGGATGATGGATGTTTTGAAGAAGTATGTGTGTTGATCTTTGTTTTATGACAACTTACCGGGCTCTGTAGAGTTGTTTGATGGTGTTTTTGCGATGCAACCGTGGTCCGGTGATGACGGCTATGTGCGGAAGTCGCAGTGACCTACTAGTAGCAATTCTGTGTTGGCCACCATTCTGTGATGATGATGTTTCGCCAATGCTACTGGTATTCGTTCACTGCCTCCGTATTTCTGCACTTCACTCACCACTCATCTTCTCCTCCATCATCATTTTTTGGAAACAGCAAAGTCAGAGAAGCTGTCAGAGACCAAAACTCGCGCGTCAGTTTTCTTCATGCCACGTACCATTGAATTTAGCCCTAGCTCTAACAAAGCTGCCAAAACCATCTTGAAAGCCGGGGAAGCTGTGTGCTGTACAAGAAGGGGCTCTGAACTTGAAAGGTGGAGGGTGTCGGGAGCATACTGCACTGGTACCGGTATGTTACGAGCCAAGCGCAGATGCAACGTAGCATTCTGAGTTATCTCAAGGTGGACGGAATGATGGGCCCAAGTAATCCTGTCAAAATATGTTGCCGTCGTCCGTTTTCCTCCCGCTAACTTGACTTTGTTTTCTAGCGAGAAAAAATCCAGATGTTAATCTGATCAACCGCTAGTCAGCTAGCTCGCCCACTATTGGTAACAGCTACTAGTATGCGAATATCCCACCAACTATTTTTCTAGTGTGGTACAGTCGTAGTTGTGGTAGCTGGACACGTACCCGTAGAATAGGAGCCTCCTCTGAGATGGCGGAGATCCAAAGTTGTTGGATTCCTTCACAGCTCTGCTGTTTGTACGACCACGGCGACGCTGACGTCGCGCGCGCGACTGCAACTGCAACAGCAAACACCTCCACTATCAAATTTTACCACTGCCACTTGCAGCCAAGACTCTAAGCCAGCGGGGCAGTTATATCTGCTTGCTGGCTGGGTCTGACCTGCCATCCTGTAGACTGGTTGAGGTCAGTTCAGCCAAGCAGAACACCCACTGTTTGGTTTTCTGATGCTGGATTACCACCAACAGGCTTCTGGACCATGGAATATTGCTTTTTTTTGCCGTCCATGGTCCTTTCCTCTTTATGGTGCCTTGCGCCCATGTGCCACACATAGTCGTGGCCGTGGTGTGTGAGTTTCACCGGACCCTGTGTGTTTAGACCACAGGTGTTTCCCGTCACTAGTGACCCATGGGCGCCCTCAGCGGCTTTACCCACTCTCCTATCACTCTTAAGAGTTGTGTAGACCGCTATCGGTCGTAAAGGAGCATACCTCTATTGGCTTTACCTAGTCTATGACTACCTCGTTTTTTAGCTTTGCGCCCGTCGCGGAGCCGTATCCCCGTCTCCAGCGCCATTGTTGCTTGGTATTGCGTGTTGGTCTCGTTCCTGTTATTGAAGCGATACCACTCCCAACCGGGACTTCTGATTGCCGTTGTGTACCGGCGGCCAAATTTTGGTGACTCGCCTCGCGCGTGGGCAACGCGACTTAATTACTCCCCGCGCTGTTAAGCCCTTTGATACCCTTTTCGTGCCCACCGGGCGAGCTTTCCCCGGCCACCTTGATCGTCCACCATCTACCTTTTCACGAAATTTGAGATGAACGAGGGGACTCCTAGGCCTACATTACAATGAGTGTATGGCTACCCTCCAAACTTTCATCCCAATCTTGATGAGTCTAATTTGTGGACCTAGTTAATCTTTATTGAGCAGGGCTCTCGAAATTTCCCGGATGAATTCTGCCCTGCCCTTTCAGCCTGTGAGTTTCAATGTGCTCACAAGTAGATTCCTTCCCGAATCAGTTCCTTTTCGATACCTCGAACTCTCCTTTCCCCACGCCTAGATTACCAGCATGTCGGCCCGTCAACTCTCTCTCTCGAGGGGCAAGAATGGCCCAGTCCAAACCTTCTCGAGGGCTCGAGCCGCAAATCCTGCGGTGACCCAGCTCATCCATCGTACTCTCCAGCCTGGGATGAACACGAACCACCGCCAGCAGGTACTCGGAGACCACGGCACTGTCTTCCAGTTCGCTTGCGTTTGGAATGGCAAGGTGGGATTCATCACCAGGCCTACCATTGTTGCTGGGGACGGTGATGCTGGACCTCCCGTTGTTGTTGGTGATTTC